AGTTGAGACAGCCCAGGGTTTCGTCGGGTGGCTTTACAAGGGATTTACGGCTTCGGGGTTCTGTCTTTTGGTTGTTGTGTAACGGGGGTGTTCTCGGAAATGGTGTAGGTTGCCTGAAGATCATGTAAGGCGTTCGGATTTAAGGCAGTTCTCTACATTGGGGGCACGTCTACGGGCTCCCATGAGGGAGCACATCATCTTGAGGATGCCCTAATTCAGTCAAAGTCGCGGTGCCAGACTGGGGAATTGTAGCGAATGTGATTTGGGTGGCAACTTGAACTAAGTTCCGTACCACCCTTACCAAGGACCGAATGAGCTAGTTCGCCCTTGCGCTGTTGTACATCCTCTGCTTTTCATCCTCTGAGGCCAAATTGAAGCCAGAAAGGTTCAAGCTTGCGGCTTTATCACGGAATCCTACACTCTGTGGGGCCTAATATTCGGATCCCTTCTTTTCCGAAGCCGGAACCACTACAGTAAATGGCCGATAACTCATCCAGAATCCTAGCATGAATCATCCGCACGTCGGATGCAGCACCCTACGCGTGCAGTACACCGAAAAGGCAACTCCTAAGCCGAGCCCACGAAGCCCAAACACCAAGCCCTAAAGATGTAAAGCCCAAGACCTCGAACCTCAATTCTCACTAGCATTCGTAGCTCTAAGGCCCCTTTAAGATATGCAACACCCCATGGAACCCCTGCATGAACTCTATATCAAAACCAGAGAATCCAAATACTGGGGAGAGTATATATATATATATATACATACATACATACACACACACACACGCCGTATTGGATATGAGCCTATAATGAAACTCTTGCTTGATTTAACCCCACACCCCTAAATTGGAGGCCTGAAATGGTGGGATGTAGGTAGGATGAAGGATCCCTTATAATACGCGGGCTCTTATTTTGGGATTGCCCCACCTACCTTCATCCCACCCCTGGAGCCCCTCTAAACCCTAAACCCCTTTTGCATCCAGGACTCTCCCTAAACCCCTAAACCCCTAGCCCCTATACCCCTAAACCCTATACACCCTAAACCCTTTGACCAAAAGACCCCGCAACACCCTGCGCCTGCGAGAGTTCCAGCAACCGCTGCTCTGCCAACTCAGGCTCTCCGGTTCTCGCAAACGCCTTCAGCACGCCTGGTGGTGCTTCTAGGGTTTAAGTATACAAGGGTTTAGATGGGTTTAGATAAATTTAGAATAATTTAGTGGTTTAACTGGTTTAGGGTTTAAGTATAAGGGTTGCGATAGGCTTAGATGAATTTAGTGGTTTAACTGGTTTAGGGTTTAGGGGTTAGTGGCTTCAGGGCTCTTATCCCCCTCGCGTGGCAGGGATCGATGCCCAAAAGCGAAAGGCGAAGCCAGGGAGAGGTTCCGAGTTTTAGGCTCGGGGGATCCGGGCCTGTCTTCTTGGTTGAAGTTAAAGGCTTGAGGCTCAGGAGGGTGTCACGCTAAACCCTTTTCTTGAGCAGGGGGACTGCAATGCAAACCCTAAGCCCCTAAATCTAAACCTAAACCCCTTAACCACTAAACCTGGCAGGAGCATTTTAGCACCCCAGGAACGTCGGGTTCGGTTCTTTACGGTGGGGGGGGGGGCCCTCTTTGTGCTCACCAGGCGTCAGGATTGCGGCATTTTTGATCTTCGGGCTTCAGACTTTACGTGCGTTCGACTCTCACACTCGCACAAGGCAGGCAAGGCTCCTCATTTTGACGTGCTTTAGCGGTAGGGACTTGTAAGTTTGAGCTCGCCTGACATGTCGACCTACCCGAGCGGAGGACCTCGCTGTTGGGTTCGCAGTTGGTTTTCCACCATCCGAAACCCAAGTCCTATCTACCTTTACCAGAACTTGAGCCAACAAACCGCATCCGAAGGCAAAAGCCCTTGCAACTTCACCCCGAAGACGCCAGTGAGGGCCCTTATAACCTAGCGCCATCCGGCGGCTGCTGGTTGACATGGCCGTTGGCTCCAAACTCCGGAGGCGCATCTCTTGAAGAAAGTGCCAGGCCTCTCGGAGCCATTCGGTCGGTTTATGTAAGTTCAATGGGTTTCGCGTTTCTATGCATTTGCACAGCCCATCTACGGACATGGTTAACTCGTACATACAGAATCTCGCATTGGAGATGCATTGGAGATAGATACATCCAGATTCTACAGCAGCATTGCTGGCATCTCTCTGCGCAAGCCTACCGTTGTTCGCTCACTGTTAAGATCTTCAGGCTCCCAAACCCCCAAGAGAAGCGGCCTGCTCAGCTTTCCCGTCTTCTGCACAGGCATTAATGACACCTGGTTCGAGTGTTTCGGTTCGCTAGGATTTTCTCTTCAAGCCAGCCAAGAGTTGCACTTCATGAGTCGCCCTTGAACCGGCTGGGGGCTTCTACGTAAGCCTAAGGCCTGCGGCATAGTCTTCCTAAGAATCAAATGGGAACTTCGTTGTGATGCGCTTCCTTCCATCACATGTAAACACAAGGTCGGAGAAGCCTTCGGGCTCAGAGGGCAAAGGCTGGTTCCGAGCCTCCGGGCCTCAAGCTTAGGAAGACTTTTGGACCTGGAGGCGTGGAAGGAAAGGCCACGGCTTGGACATATAGAGCATGATACCAGCAACACCTGTACCGACATGGTGAAGGCTATGACCGCTGACATGAATCCGACACCCGGGCTTCGACAGAGGGTTTGGCCAACAGAACCCGAGCAGACGTGCATTGCCAGAGCCTTCTGCGGACTGCTGCTTCTTAGCTGCTTCTGAAGCGACAGGGGGGTTTCTGGGTTACAGAAAATGACGAATCTCCACCCCCCCCCCCGCAAAAGATCCAAACAACACACACACATACACACACCAAGACCAGGATCCTGAAACCTAAGGCCTGAATAGAAGGACCTCCTAGCGGGGCCATCACGGCCCACGAGGTTTCCTGACTTGGACAGTTTGCACTCTGTCATACTCTTTGGCCTGCTTGGTTGTAATTGTACCGAGGGAGAATATGTACCCTCAGTGAAGTTATGGGGGTTGCTCAAAGATGAGAATTCCAGGTGTCCTGTCCTGGGTTCAAACGGGGAATCATTCCAAACGGCAGCTATCATGTATTCCGTATGGTACACCTCGCGCATTAGCAGGAACAAGTAAACGGTAAACCCTCCCACGAAAGTCACCCATGAACCTGAACCTAGCCGAAGGCGCAAGGAAGCATAATGCCAAGATGCTGTTGAAGGTGACTACGTCTGCCTGGCCACGAATTGTTTGGGTGATGCGAGAAAAAACACTAGCAAAAGGGGAGCACCCTACTGCTGCATCTCGACTGTCAGACCCGACGTGTTGACTGGATGGCGGTCTCCCAATTTGTCCCGGCGCATCTAAGTCGGCAATCACTTCAACTTGCAAGGTGGCACTAGCAGCCTGGAACCTGTTCCCTTAAAGTCGCCGTTTTCTTGTCGCAGAGAGCATGCCTTGAAGAAGCAGACTCTGGGGCGTGTCGAAGGGCGATACATGCAGATCCGCGGTCCGTATGGAGATTCATGTATGCACTATGTAGTCATCTACTGATATAATTCATGTATCTCCTTTTACTGACATATGCACACACACACACGTAGAATCACGTAGCTAAGCCCCCTACAAGGCCCTACAACCCAAGTCCGCATAGCCTGAGATACCAGATCCCACGACCTGAGAGCACCAACCCTAAAGAACCCCCATACCCGTGAACCGAACTCCCAAGGGCTTATAAAGTATCCACAACAGCAGCAACACCAACACCAACACCACCGACACCACCGCCGCCACCGCAACAAACGACAATAAAGCTGGGTTTCTATTCTGGAACTTCAGATACAGAAGCCGGTAAGATAATAAAAGGGTGTGGGGAGTTTCTATACTGTAGGACATACACTAGAAACCCTAGGGACAACATTACCAATGACCCAGATCTGCATGCCAGGTACGGGATCCGTCCGAACATGCCGAACCTACCCCCCGAGCCTTAGACCTTGAACACCACCCATATATATATATATAATCAATACATATATATATATATGTAGAGAGAGGTATTTATGTCTGTATTTTATCCTTCCGTTTAGCATGTGTAAATACATATGAAATTCTATTCCGTTCGGTTCTGCTCTATTCTGTTCAGTTATAGACATATAGAACCTTTTGGAGGAGGGGCTGCAGTGTATAAAATTCCTATAAACCCTCAAACCCCAAGAGAAAAGGCCGCAAGTCCCACCTGAACCTCGCGCTGGCCCATGACCTCCAACCAGAAGATCGCTCCTTGCGTCTCGTTTGGTTGAAAGAAAAGTCTTTTTACCTTAGCTCCATTTACCCATCCAGCATATACTCAGTTAAGGGGTTGCTATATAAGTACTCTAAGGCCTATGTGTATACTATACAGTACAGGGAGCCTTTGGGGATATGTTGGAAAGGCATTCTTACCCAGGGACTATAAGAGGATATTCTTTGTGGAAGGATTCCGGACTTAGGGCTTTGATGGTTTATTCCGCTTTAGTCTTCACGGATGCTCGATAGTAATGATAGTACGCGGTAACCTCAAGCCCTTTTACACCCTCGTTGTAGAACCCCTGGCATACTACAAAACAATTTCAAGTCTGCACTCGACTTGTGCTCTTAATTGGCAGTTCCCCTTGCAGGAACCCGCGGAAGCAGCTGGAGTTAGGGCGTCCTTACTGCAATCCCTATTGCGGTATTCCAACCCCTACTCGAACCCCATTTCGCAAACTGTCCTCCGCCTTCCTATGCAGAATGTTTGGAGTGCGGCTATGTGGCGTGAGGCACACCCACATCGCGCACAAGCGTTGATGACCTCAGGAGATTCTCGGAGAGAGACGCAGGGATCCCTAACCCAAAGGATTCTAGCCTCCGATATGGGCTGTACCTACACAAAGCGGCCTAAGGATTCCTTGGAGAGAAACCGCACCTTGTACCCAAAAGTCGCTTAGGATCCTACCTGAGCTATTGATTTGTCGATTGAGCCGTCTTATGGGCTCTGGGGATCGAACCCAGTGGCTGCCCGCAAACCCGAGCAGGTTTCGGGATCCTTATGCACATTTCGAAGCCTTAAGGGACCCTTAGACCCCTGACCTGTAAACTCCTATGCGGATTGCTCCGAGCAACTCCGTTGAAGCTCATCAAATCCGGCCGCAGGTCCATGTCCGTCCTGCTGCAAGCAACAGACTTTAAGGGTTCAAGGCCTTGCGGGGTTTGCGGTCCCTATGGTCTTTAAGGGTCAGTGTCCCAAGAAAGGCCAGGCAAGGCAGGGCAGGAGGCCTAAAGTCTTGGCAAAAGGCGCTTGTAGCCGAGCCACGCACTTTCCAGCCACTCTTCCGCTTTCTTCAGCTCGCCAGCTTGGGAGCACGCATTTATGACACCTGGGGTGTGGCGTGCAGGAGTCGGCCAAGAGGTGAAGCAGGTTAGGAGTAGGGTGTTGGGGACAGACGCCACTATACCAACACCGCTACCGCTGCCGCAGCCACACGCACACAAGAAAGAGCCAACATAACAAAATAGTGCCACAAGCCAACGCGCTTCATGCCCAAGCCACAGCCTTTCTCCGAAGAGGTACCGCACCGAGAAAGAGCCCATGTTTCGACTAGCTGCTGTCCTTCGAAAAAGGGCTATTGCTCAGCGACAGTTGTTGAGAGTTAGCAACATGAAGCCTACCTTATCCTCTTGTTGCAGCTCCCCAGCCATAACGTCAGTCTCGAGCACGCAGATCTCTAAGAGCTGCAGTCCCTAAGCCTTACCCTGAGGCTCCAGAAAGATCTAATTAAACATTGGAGCTGTTGTGCTTACCATACCATACTAAATACTTCGGTTCGGTCTTAGGCCTGAGTGTTAGAAGTCCTCAAACCTTTGCGTCTTCTGCATCCAGATCTGGGGCATAGACTCACCCTTCACCGCGCATCTTTAATTGAAGTGGGAGTAAGAAATAGAGCAGTGCTCCCATACGGTCCCTATAGATTACCGTGCACACCAACGCAAGGCGCTGTGTCATCCGGCTTTTGTCTGCAAGCGGCTGTTCAAAACAATGATGTTCGGCGACAGCCGCAGAGTTTTTAGCTCCCGCAGGCACTCTTCGGCACCTTTCGGTCCGAAAGTATCACTTTGCGGTCTAATTAGGGCTTAGGGGTTTAAGGCTCCCTACGTAACCCTAAAGCTTCTCAAGGAGTCCAAGGGTTCTTATAAGGTTGCTTTAAAGGGATTGCTTGAGAGTCCGAAATGCCTAAATCCTAGAGCCCGGCAAGTACTAAACTGTATTGTTGTTGTACCACTACCTTAAAGACAGGAGATACCTCCTCACTGGATCTTTGGGACCCTTAGAGTGGGCTTGGGGCTCAGGATGTGGGGGTAAGGGCATGGAATCTGCGTGTGGGAGACAAAACGGGCAACTGACTACAAACTACCTGCAGTACTCTGTCTCCCTCGTTTTGTTTTTTAATCTCGCTGCCTGGTGTTTGCCTGGTCCTCTTACATCCTGTGAAGGCTTAGTGGGGCCCGACTTTTTGGAAAAAATCTTGCCTGGTGAATCAGGGGTCATAACTTTTTGAGTTTAGATCAGAATGTTTGAAGTTAAGTCTGAAACGGCAGGATTCCAATAATGAGTGCAAACTAAAGGGCAGCCTTTGGCTGGTCACTTACGCACGCTGGTCAGTTTGCACACCCCACACTCTAGCAAAACCGAAGTTTTCTTGTGGACAGCATCCCAGGAAGTCCCCTGACTACGCCTGTTGCGATTGCTGCAGGCTGCACCACCCACGACATGTTAGTTCACGAAGTCATTTCCCTGTGCCGAAAGGAGTGACACCATATGTTGGGGCTCGGGCCTCCTGCATTCTGGTATCCATACCAGAAACCCTACACAACCATACTCCAACGGCCACGATGAGAAACGCTCGAACAAGTGACGAATGAATCGGCCCTGCTTGGCATTGGCGTTCGCCAGATTGCCTTCGTTGCACTGGCGACGCAGTTTGAGTCTAGTTACTTAAAACATCTTGCAACCGAAAGTCAAGAACGACTTCTAGTACTGCGTACTCTCTGAACCGTGGATCATTCAACCACAACCTGAATCTAAAACAAACTGATTCAATGGCAGTTTGCCCAGCGTCACGATGTCGGGCGCGAGCCCTCGTTGCTTCATGTTCTGGAACCACTCATCGGCTTTATCCGCCTGGCTATGCCGTTAAGGCCTTAGCGTGTACTTCTTTGGACTTCCAGGTTGAGGCTTGAGGCATTTAGGATTCAGATTGCCCCCGTCGGTCTCGGTGGAGGCTGATCGCCAAGATTCCAAGAGTCAAAAGGGATCAAACCCCACATGTCGAAAGCCAAACGAGGCCCCTGCACTGTCATCATTGTTCTTTTGATTATGGTAATTGTCCGGACAACCCCTGAATCAAGTGTTTGTCAAGTGAAAGACGAAAGCGCGAGAAAGAGTTAACTGCCAGAACAAATGAGGAAGTCGCGGCTCCTGATTCTGCAAGATGTGTGACGCAGTAGGTCAGATCAAGCCGTGTCTAGGTCTACGTAAGCATGCTCGCACCTTCGCAACCTGGTCTTCGTGTTAAAGTCAATGTCTCTGTGTTTCGGAATAGTATTAGTATTCCATAGCTTAGAGATGCTTGGGGCTTCTGGAGTAAGGAATTGCTGCTGCAGTTAGGATTGCTGTAGCTGCAGCATTTTCAGTTTTCACATCCCGACTTGTGCGCCTCCCCAGCGAGGGCACACCTCAGCTTTTCGGTGTAGTATGGAAAAGGAATGCGATCGCCGATCAAGATCATTGGATCTTCACAAACGGGACACAGGGGTAGTAAGTTGTCACGCCTCTGTTTATTAGTAGTAAGCTATTGAGATAAGGGTACGACACAGACGCCGCTGTAAATACCAGCCTGTTCGAGAACAGCAACCCTAACCCACTGCAATAGGCGGGAACCGGACCATGGTGGGGGCAAGAGTTTGCAGAAACTCCACGATCTGGTCCTCTGAAGAAAGGAGGACTTACAGGTGTAGCCTCGAAAGCTCACTGCAGCTGCTGTCAACCCATATATGGAGCCTAGACTGTCCCAAACCTTAATCCTGACACCTCCAAGACTTGAAGAAACCCTGCATCGAGCTGCAGTCGAAGCTGAAGGGCTGGTATTTCATCGGTCTGTTTCGCCCGGGTTCCACCTCTCTCAGCCCGGTTTTCGGTCTCGTAATTACAGGGTTTGAGGTAGGCCCCACGCGGGAACTCCCCAACCTTAAACCCTAAAGACCTAGTACCGCACAAAGCGGCACGCCCACGACTGCCGATGATGTACAGATAGCCACGGTGCGACTGCAACACCGTGTTGAACATCTGAACGCTGAGGTGCAGCCCAACCTCAATCCTGAAAAGGCTCAGTCTTCGATCTTTGGTGGTTCTCTTTGCATCCGAGGGCGTTTAAACATGACTTTCGGGTCTCGATTTCGGCGCTCACACTCGGACACTCTGCGGTTCGAGGTCTGCAAAGAAGTGAAACCATATTCGAGTACAAGACCCTAAGACATCCAGATCCATAAAAATAATAACCTCTGAAGTGGAAGGGTCTTCTTGTCGCACTCCTCCTGTAGGAAGAGTATCAGGTTATCGACGCTTTTGAAACACTATAAACCCTAAAACCTCTACGGCTTTAGGGTTTTGCGTTTAGGATCGAAGCCCGACCTGCTCTAGTGACTCTAGTGCAGTGCAATTCACACTAGTTCGCCAGGCTTCGCTCTGTTCATCCAGCGCTCTGCCCCAGCCGGATCTGCCTCCTTTGCCCATGCCTCTGTCGAACTCTAGACAGGGCCTTAATCCGGATTAGCACTCGCAACCACCTGGTCCTCCGCATTTTGGCCTATCACAATGGGCCGCAACCCAATCATGCTAGAGTTCCGGGGTCCCCTCTACGATAGCGTATCAGCATTGTATCTGACTACCTACGGCACCCAAACCCTCTTGTTGTCACCAAAGATGTCATAGCCCCATGGTCCGCATGGCCCGCAACATAAATGCAAGTCAACTGAAGCAGGCCGGACTTGTTCAGCGTTTGGGAATCATGCCAAGGCCAAAACCTTTCTGGAACCTAGAAGGTAACAACCATTCTGAAGCTGATTGGGCATCGAACCGCTTGGGGGCTCTTCCTGACCGGACATTCTGGGGTTCAGAACTCCAGAACGGAAAAGTAGCTTCCTGCTTGGACCGAGAGACCTCTAACCCCCAAAAGCCGACACAGTTGTTAATCTCGGGTTCGCGCTTTAGGCCCAGTTCTGGATTTAACTGGAGGGAATAGACTGGCTAACTTAAATTCATGGGACCCTTGGTGCTCTCTATGCTTGGCCTTCATGACCGCGCCATAGCAGGCAGCATCCGGTTGAATCTTGAACCTTATCTCCCAAACGTGGGGTCTCCATAAATAAAGTGTATGTATGTATGTATGTATGTATGTATGTATGTATGTATATATATATATATACATAGCGAGAGAGAGACACAGACAGAGAGAGAGAGAGAGAGCACGACAGAGACAGAGAGATAGCTTCCTTCAGGGTTTCGGCGCTCACACTCGGACGATTTAGGTGAGGCGTGTGGGTTCGAGAACCTGCAGAGAAGGCCCACCCACCACCCCCACAGAAACGTCTCGCCCCCGTGAACACTCCATACAAGCAAGGGCTGCTTCATGCTACAGAAGTCACGAAGTGGGCCGAAGCGCGTAACACAGGTTTAGGGCAGTTTAGGGATGCGGTATTAAGAGTGCATGGCGTTCGCTCCGCAGGATTCAGGATTGGCTGGTTTGGGCCAGTTGAAAGCCCCGCAACATGCCAAAGCTCATGTTACGGAGAACAACCCATCTCTAACCCAAGCCGGTAGTTCCATGCTCGAAAACAACATGCGATCCTCATTGCAGAAAGACCGGCAAGAAAGGGACGCCTGACGTTGAAGAAGGGATCACATTGAGTCCGACAGCACTCTCGGTTCCCCAACCCATTGAAAAGTTGAGTCCAGAACCTGAGGTTTTGTCACCCTTTTTAACCATGATCTGGGCCTCTCTCACGACCAACTCCGTTCCCGCAACAAGCTTTGCACTAGGAATCCTCAAGGAAAGAGGAGGGGCCTACATTACAAGCCCAATGAGCGATGCCTGCGCTGAGCCAGTATAGCCAAGACGGAAGCCTCAACCTTCGACGATAATCGTCGTTTCAGATTCCCACAAAATCCTTATATACTAATTTATTACCATTGGAACTAGGTCCCCAAAATGCCCCGAAGACCATCCCTATAAACAAGCCCTGCTGGGAACACCCGAAGCAACAACTCGAAAAGACTGGCACAGCATTGAAATAACGCCCCCTTCCTGGGCTGTAAGCCTCAAAGCCCGTGCTACACGAGAGTCAGAGAATTTTCCCTGAAAGCCCCCAGAGACTGATTGCATAAAATAAAGCACTATAGAAACTGTTAGGTTTAGACCAAGGCGACTCCTGAGCTCTGGCGAACCAGACTTCCGCCTCCTCAGGGTCGCCAGCTTCCGCAAAGGCATTTAGGAGGCCTGGGCATCTCTGAAGGTGTCTCTTGGAGTTCCGGAACGGATTTTTGCAAGGGCTTCTCTGAGGGTTTCTTGTCGTTCATATACGGGCCTTAAACATGTGAGAAGAGGCGTCGGAGGCACGCTATACTAATGTAGTATGGGGGCCTAGAGCAAGTTTTTCTCTGAGGGTTCCTTGTCGGGTTCCGCAATGGGCGATTTTGTGGGTTTCTCTGAGGGTTTACGTTCGGGACCCCTTACGCCTGTCGCGTTTCCATAACGGTGCCTGTCGTGGTCTTCGCGTTTTGTGTGCTGTGAGTTGGGGTTTTGCATGGCTAAGGTCCGTGGTGTCGAGGGTTTGAGCTTGAGGGCTCAGGAACGTTCGGGCTCTAGGCATGTGAGCTTCTCCGACGGGCATAATTAAGTAGCCTCGACTTACGGATTGGGAGCTTTGGGTGTTGTAGTTTTCCGGGCCTCGGCGAAGCAGAATCGTCAGTTAACTTCCGTCAACCCTGCTAGGACTACGTACAAACAGGAGAGGATCATAAACGTTGCTACTCCTTCTTCATATATAGGTTTTTCGGATTGTAAATTACCAGCGGCCGCATACTCACACCCAGAATAAAATTCTCGCCGATATTCCTAAGGAATGTAACCAACGTCATGTAAAGCTAAAGCATTTCAATAATAAAATCAAGGAAAACCTTTAACCGCAGAATCCTTAGTCTCGAGGACTCCTTAAATCTCTGGACCATGCGACCCCTATAGTAGAATAGACGTACGCCCACGGACAAAACTACGCCGAGCATCTGCCAAAAGCCACAAGGTTCACTCGAACTCCAGAAGCGTGCATCCGTGTGAACCACCTCTCCTGGGTAGAGCTTCAAGCAGAGCTAGTAAGGGATCCTATGTAAGCCATAAAACCCTAAACCCCGAGCCCGGATCTGTGTCGATTTGAGCACTTGTGTGGTTGGGCGAATTGATGTGCGGTGGGGTTTGGTGATGCAGGTGCTGCTCCTCAGAGAGCCTATAGTTGAGCACGCTGACATCACCCCAGACCCCAGCCTGAAAAAACACAAAAAACTCCGGTTTGCTGTTTGTTAAAGAGCCATCTGCCACCTGCTGCAGGGGTCCCGAGCTTAGGGCCGCTTAGACGCCCAGCTACTCAAGGCCGTAAGTGTACCACATGGGCTGCGCTTTGTGTACCTAGCTTCCTGCTGCAACTTTCGTAGGCTTGAAAGATATGCGGTGCAGGGACCGCGTTTTACGACGACTTGACTTAATTAAGTATGCCCGAAGCCCATGGGACATAAGGCTTTGGGCTGTTTTGCGGCATATTGACTATCCGAAATGTCACACGGCAACCACCTTCAAGATCTTCTTAGATACAAACAACCTACAAGGAGGCATGGGTGAATGGCAACCCTTCAACCTTCAAGGAATCGCCATGCGCCCTGAAGGATCATCCTCACGAGTTCCGTACGGTAGGGCTACGGCTGATGGACGCAATTATGCATCAGGAACTTGCTTGCAAGGGAAGAGTAATTAAGGTTGGGCAGGCTGTTGTCGATCACCAGTCTCAAGCTCTATATTATGGTCCGAAATCCTTGCACCGGAGACTGTTGACTTAAAATCTGTAAAGAAAAAGACTACGATGCTCCGATCTGGCTCAGGGATCCGCATCTCTCGGCGATCCTGCGGCTGCGGCAGCCTTCAGCACGGCACCATAGCCTTCTTTAGGTTGTTTTAGGTGCACTTGCAGGAGTTTAAGGGTTCGTAGCACAGAGTTTAAGCCTGTATTATGGTGTAGGACAAGTTTAGGGCAGTAGGCCTAGAGACTGAGGGGGGTCTGTTTCTGCCTGCACAACAGAAGTGTGTGCATCAACCACAGCGTTCACTGCCGGACAGCTTGGAGTCTCGATCCGCGAACTCGGTGTCCGAAACCGTAAGCTCAGAGTTTCAGGCTTGAAAAGTAATGCACAGCGTGGACTGGGGTCTGTTTTTCTGCACTTCACCTGCTAGTTTAGTTCTGCTCTTGACATCATCATCGATGGCATTCTTGCTCGTTTGTTACCGTTGTTGATGTTTAGGGCTTTCATGCCCTTCAAGCTTCGCAAGCCAGGGTAGAGCTATCACTGAATGCGCGCATTCCAACAAAATACCCTAAGCCACGACAACATGGTCGGCCCAGTCCCTTCCACCCAAACCCTGCGCCCGATAGCCTTGCCCAGCTTCTGGTGCTGCTGTTGCTTGTCCGGCCAACCATTTGAGACCGAAACACCGCCGAAATTTGGATCAAAGTCACTGCGGTCGTCTGCGATGTGGCCATCCTGGGTCGTGTCCGTCCGTCCGTGGGTGTGTGTGTGTGTGTGTG